ATTTGACCTCCTCAAAATCATATGAACAATACTTCCCCATCTCATCAACCGTTTGTATCATTTACCTGCTGTTTGCACTCTTCCCAGGCTAACAGGAGTTAGCTGGAATTCAGCAGCATTTCCGTTTGTTCCTAAAGACCGACCCAATAGCATCATTTCTGCCGGTGCCTTTAACTCATCTGGAAGAAGCAGTTTCATGTTTGGCTGGAGTGAAGGCCTGTTGTTTCAGAAGAGACCAGTTTATCCAGACTGCTCGTGCATCACCAGTTTAAGGGCCCCTCAGCAAACATGCCATTTTGTCTGCAATCTGTACAGTGTTTACCTAACCTATTTCTCAAGCTCTCCCAGGAGGAAATGCTAAACATTATCATCAGTTGACACAGGTTAACTCTTCTGCTTAATACATCGCCACAAGAGGTATTACAAACAAACACGTATCAGCTGGCTTTAAGCAGGGAAATAACTCAGGCCCCCAATGAAAGCTTTGTCCAGCTGTATTCATGCTTCATTGAAATTTCTACCTTGAGGTCAAAAGTTGAAAAAAAAAAAAAAAGTCTTCTTAGTATTGTATTTGTAATGTTCTTATTGGCAATGAGCTGAGCTGGCTGGATCATTGAACTAATCCTTGTATTCACTGAGTGGAAACTCCAAAACGTTGACAAAGTGCTTCTATTTAATCTCAAGGAATGCTTTTCGTTCTAAACCAGAGGCGTCTAAGACATTACAAATTATACCAAAAGGCTTCCAGTTTTATCACAGCAGCCTGATATCTGGAAGAGAGAAGATCCAAAATAGAACTGTTTGAGAATTTTTCAACTTTTTTTTTATTTTATTATTTTTTTTCATGTTACATATCAGCCTTTCAAAATGGAATGTTTTAATGGAAATACATTAGTTTGGGTCAAATAAAGATTTGTAGCTCCACAGTAAGCTTGGCAGTCAGTCACTCCCAAGTGAATACTCTGCTCACTCAGTAAAAGAGAATGGGTTCAAGACTCTGTTTTGCTTTATTCAGAGCAAAGATTACTCTCGAAATGCCAATCTCAGGCAAGTGTTGGGATGCACCATCCTAATAACACTACGGTAAATTATGTCCATGTTTTGGGAGATCTTGAGCAAGAGCTGAGGTGTCAGAAGGGAGCAGTGGTGGGGCAAAGCTCCCTGTGCCATCACCCAAAGAAGAACTCAAGTAGCCAGAGACCGCAGGCTCAAGTAAAGGAAGCTCCTTTACTTGGACTTATACATGGACTCATTCCCTATCTTTTCTGAAACCAACCACAGCAACTCAAATTTGGGGATTTTAGGCTCCTTTTGGGATTCTAGTTTCCTTCTCTACTCAGTGTTGTATGACACTGAGCATCATTCTTTGGAGAAGCCAGTAAAGCTGCCACTGGGGACCTGGTTGTCCTTGGAAACAGGTTATAATTTCAGCATGTTTCCAAATGAACAAGAAATATTTGGAGATGGAACTGAAGAATTTGTGTGGCAGAAAGCACGGCTGCTAACCTTGTGCTTTAAAGCTGCCAGGGAATGCTTAGTTTCATGAGGAGGTAAGGAAAATCTTCTTTGATGAAACAAAAAATTCCAGCCAAGAACATTTGCAACCTCTTCAACAGAATACGAGCCATGCTGTAATTAAGTCTCTTCTGGATGCTTTAAGACGTGCAAAGTGAGAGGGTCCCTGGCATGACAGTAGTGATGCATTTTGTTTGGCAAAATGCCTCTCGGAGTGGATCTCAGCTCTTAAGTGCTATTTTCCCTACAGAGAACTTCGAGCCTTGATATAGCAGCCTCCAGCGAACAGAAAAAGGGGCACCTTTCCTCTGAGCAGATTAGCAGCAGTTAGTTAGGGTGGAAACACAATGAACACATTTCTTTCAGTCCGTGGCTGGTTTCCAAAACCCAAACAGTCCTTTAAAAGGGAAGCACTGCAAGGCTGTCTGTGTTTGCACTCCAGATTTAAATATGCTAGCGTTCAGCTAGGCTTGTAGTTATGTACCAGGTGAAGGTCAGAGAAAACTCAAACTTAAATTTTGTGCTTAAAGAAATTCAGGTACCTTTTCTAATGAGTTTATCTCAGACTTTCCAAAGACTGACATGCACCACCGCAAAGCTGCAGGCCACTGGTATAAACAGCACAGGCCAGGGTGCCGCTGTCTTATCAGAGCACAAGTATCTGAAATCTTTTTCCCGCAGAGAGGAAGGCTCACATTAAGGAAGAAAACTGGAATACTGATGATGCTTTTAACATTAGGGCTCTGCATCTTCAAGGATGAGCACGGGACTCTGGCTGCTCATCTCAATGGTTTTCATTCATTCAGAACACTGCAAGGACTCGAGGCAGCAGACCTGCTCCCTGTTAGAAGTGTGCTGTTCCAATAGCAGCAAATAGACAAGTGTTCAGTTTAGAGGTGTTTATGCTTTGGCCAGCAGCTGCCTAGAGTCCCCTCTTCCCCAAACACATGCACATGTGTAAGGAGCACACCAGGTTTACAAGGAATTTATTAAATCTTGCTTCTGCACTACAGGTTTTATTAACTCGGATAGTTATTCCAGTGTTGCAAGTTATAACATTACTCATCCTTTCTCCTCTCCTCCCCGCATTTTTCTCTTTCAGCCTGTTTCTTCATTCACCTTCTATCTTCTCACTTGCTTTGAGATCAGTGGTATGAGCAGCTCCTAAGTTTCGCAATCCAATTGCAGTTTGCCAGTGTGACCCCATGAAAATGCTTGCACTGTGAGCAGAAGGTGTCAGTAATAAAAGGGTTGTACATTAGGCAGAGAGAAAACCTTCATTTAAGACTTGTGTCTTAACAAAGGTGCTCATCAGGAGGAACCATTGCCTTTCTTTAAAGAAAGCAATGATGAAGCAGTAGGAGTGAAGTGAGGAAAAAACCTTGCAGGGATTGCACAGCATTTGTCACAGTAGACGGCAGTGAGCTGTGCCAGTGATGTTCGGCTTGTTCATTTTTAATTTTTCCTCATCTATTTATCAGAATTCATTTATACTGCCATTAATCAGGAATTAGCTGCTGCTCTACAATTACATGGCAAGATGGCTATTTCTCATGGGAATCAACTGCTGCCTCTGCCTAGTGTCTGGCAAAAATGCCTGGGCTGGAAGAGAAAATGCCATGTCCGGCTGCATTGAATCTGTACTTCTGTTGGGACTCAATTCTACCCATGCAGAAAGGGAGGCCTGGGGGTAGGAAATCAGCCTGCACCCTCCTGAGGCATTGCCTCCCCTCGGGGGTCTGTCCTATTCTGATCCAAACATTCTCAAAGCAGCTGTGTGGTTCCTAAACCCAGCTGCTTTTCCAGGTTGCAAGAAAGGCTGTCTCACAAAGACCTGCCTTGGTATGGGTCATCCTAGCTCGGCTTTTCTCCATCCCAGGGAGCTCCCACTGGGTTAAGCCATGCTAAAGCTGGGGTTGATGTGCAGAGGAATACAGCCATCTGTTATGATGCCTGACTTAGGCACTTGCATTTGAAGTCTACATCCCGTTGTGGTTTCAACTGGGAAAAAGAAACCATCTCAGAATGATTCTAGCAATTGGATCATTTTTCAAATGTTGACACCTTGAGCCAGTGTAGGCATAAAACAAGGAGGGAACACCCTTCTGGATGTGATGTATAAGACTGGCTAACCCCAAAACCAGGCCTCATCATGAGGGGCTTTTTAATGAGATAGTGCTGTCCCTTAAGTCAAACACATTTTGGTTCATAGCACTATTAACAAATTGCATTTAAAACTGTTCCACTCATTGTAATTACTCCATCATCCCTCGTGGCTAACTCCTCATCCCGCCTTTTTATGAGCCATCCATAAATACAAAATGATTTATCCAAGTACCACCATGTTGTAAACTTGGTCACGTGGAACTGTTGATGAGGGACATCCATAAAGTTTAATTATGCCATTGATTCTTGCTAAAATATTAACTTGAAGCTGGCTGAAGAGTCTTCCACTTACTTCAAATCAAATGAAGGTATAAAATGTCCTGTACTTTAAAGATGTGCAGCATGTACTTTTCAAGTGGTAATCTACAGGGAAAATCTTTCATTGCCTGCTATAAAGATAACCTCCTGTATTAGGATTCAACGTGAAGAGTTATAAAAGTCAGAGCCAGAAAGGATCTATTAATTCACCTCCTGTTTCTCTGCCAATATGAGCTTCTTCCAAAAAATGTATTATTGAAGGTTATTGGTGTAGCTAAGCTTTCAAAAGGACCGGCTAATGGGGATTCCATAACTCTCTTTGGATGATGTCCTCCAAGCTAATAGACATTGGCTTTGGAAAAAGCACTTCTGACATTTAATCTGCAGCTTTTTTTTTTTCATTTTTTTTTTTTTTAATTCTCTGTTTAACTTCATTGCTTCCAGCTATACCTGCTTGAATCAGCTTGTATTTTGGCTCTCCAGTCCTGGTGTTGCACAATCTCCAGCAGGGAGCTCTTCTACCATTGTCTGACTATTGTCTGACTAGCCCAGATGCTTGGATCAGTTTTTCAAAGCAGGTTGAGGGATTCAGCCACAGCTGTAATGGAGAAGACCAGTAATGGACCAGAAGATTCAGCCATATAATTCTTTATTTTTGTGGGAGCTGTGTAGTTACCACTCTGAATTGCCTTTGAAAACCTCAGGTGTTTGGTTCTTCCTGTCATTCCGCAGGAGACACATCCTTCCCAGCAGCCAATTTGATTTTCTTCATGTTTTCTGAGTCCCCTCCAATGTCTAAATATTTCCCTAACATCACTGTCAATTCAGTGACTAGGCCAACTTCCAAATTACTTAAGGCGACTCCTTATGTATTGTGTTTTGTGCATGGGTGTTTGTATGCATAGACACGTATGTGTACCTGCATAAATCCATGCATGTACCGGCATGAGCACACAGGGTTTGTCTGATTTGTGTCTATAAGCAAGTCAAAATTCTTTGGACTGGCATTTATGGGAGGGATCTCTTGACTTCCACAAAACATTTTTTTTTCCTCTGCACAGAATAATAGACATTGGACATAGGATGAGATATGAAGATGTCTAAGCCAACAACACCAAAACGGTGATGACCTTTCTGCCTGTTTTGTTTATGACACATCCCCACAAAGCCAGACTACGTATTGCTCCTGGGGGCAGACCAGTTTTGCTTCTTGCATCCTTGATCTCCTCATGTCCAAAGCTCCCAAAGACTCGTCTGTAGGCTGTCTTGGAAGAATCATGGATATCCTAATAGTGAAAAAAAACCACACACATGTTGGTTGGAGAAACTCGCAGAGACAATGAGGAGCACCAAAGAGCTGACCTGGGATTCACCTGGCCCAGGTGCACAAGCTTTGTCTTTCAGTACAGATGGCTCAGTTACTTTGGAAGGCAGAACAGTCATGACCAGCAGAGGTAAGCACCACTGCAAGCAGCAAGACAAAAATGGGAATTGGGTGCTCCTGAAGATGTATTGGGTGTGACACATATATGAAACCCAGGTATATTAGTCTTGCAATAGACTGCAGCAGCATGTCCCTGCTGTTGGGAGATTTCAATAACACGGTAAAACATCACAGATGTAATTCGAAACTATTCAGACTCATATCCTTGAGTTTATCACCTAAAGGCCTCAATATTGGATCTAAAATGATTTCCAGCAGCCAGAGAAGACGCATGGCAAACCTGGGCTGTATGAGTAAGTTCTCAGCAGCTCCTGCTTTAATGACTTGCTCATGAAAATAAATTGACAGATGACAGGCTCCCACCTCTGGAACAGAAAGGTTGCTGCTTTAATTAAACTTCTTAATTGGCACGGCCATCTCCTCCCACCCAAAGCAGACACTGAATAAACATAGAATGTCACCTCATCCTTCCTATAAACAGACACCTAGCCATTCCAGAAAATCAATGACAATGATTAAGAGAGCTCTCATTCCTCGCTCTTACCTACATTTTACTTTCCACACTGAGTGTATTGACTAAATGTCTCATCCTAGAAGGTTATGTGTACAGGCTTTCCGCAGACCGCACCAGCAAAGTTTCTTGTTAGAGGCAGGTTTTGCTGCTCAAATTCGTAGCAAGCATCTTCCTTCACTGTTTGCAGTACAAGCCCTGTGGGTCCAGCAAAAGATATTCTGTCCTCAGAGACCTTCTGGTGTCTGAGACAGACAAAAATGGCCAGAGAAGAAGAGGTAAGGTGAATTTTGCCAGTTAAGGGGATGAATGGCAAACACAGAACTTCTCTGCTAAGTAGTACTGTCTCCCAGAGCTACCTATGAAAAACCCATAGCAGGGTCCCCCCTTTACTGTCCTCTATGCAGAAAATTTCCTCCTCTGAGAGGTCAGGTCAGTCACCCTACCACCCCGCATCTCAGCAAATTTGGCACCTGTGAGACCATTGTTGCAGTGTCTGAAGAGCAGCAATAAGAAATAGACCGAAACAAACAAATGAAACCCTTCCTGAATGTGTAAAAGTCCAGAGAATTGATGAAGGCTTGTTGGACCAGCCATCCCCGTCAGCCCCAGCTGCTCTGCGTGGTCCTGGTGATGCTCAGATCTGGGCTTGTGTCACAACCTGATGCAAAGCAGATGGAGCTCAGCGGTGAGTCTGGCTCCCAGGACTCAATTTCTAAAGAGCGATCTTCTTGAAGAGCTTTTTATTTGTTTATTTATTTATTTAAATCGCTAGTTGACCCAAATTAAGAGCTTTTACTGTTGACAATACTTTGTGCATTAATGTATTATTGGTGTATTATTAGTCAAAGTGTTTTTTTTTTTCTTTGTATCTTTAAAAAGTTTTATTTATTCATTAGAATTTTGTAAACTCATTTTTCTCACAAAGACCTGGGAAGGTGTCACAAGAATCACCAGTGAAATGTGTTCCAGCAAGTGTCAGAATGTGTCTATATCCCTTTTTCACAAATTGATTTGATTCTGTATCAGTTAGCCAGACCTTCACCACATCTCCTCCTTGCTCCAGTTACCTGCAGGACTCAGAAACCTACTCAGCATATTACAGCTTCACAGATTACTGCATGTCAGCAGAACCGTGGTGGTTTGCTGCTGGAAAGAAGTACTGAGGCAGGTTTTAAGCCTCCATAAAAGACGTTTATGCTACGGTGCACATGCAGATGTCTGCAGATGGATGCTTGAGCACCACCAGCATCAGCTGATGGATGTAGTTCATGGAGCTTCTGTAACTCAGCAGTACATCTGAGACATGAGGGGTCGTGTATCTGCACATATGTACATATCAAAGTCACAGAAAGGGCTGAGTTTGGAAATCATGTAGTTCAAGCCCCTGCTCAGAGCAGGGTCAGTGACAGCAGGTTGCTCAGGGCTACTCAGGTGGGTTTTGAATGTCTCCAGAGGGTAAGACTGACTCCACCATCTCACCACAACCAGCTGTGGTGGCAGAGCAGCACTTGCACTAATGCAAAGTACCTGGTTGCTGCAGTCCTTCGCTCCCACAGGGATGGTGAAGGCAATGCCCCTGCCTCTCTGCTGTCCTCCAGTGAGGGGGAACTCCTTTCCTGGTGTAGATACACTGCTGGCATATATACACAACATACATATGCAAATTCTCACCCACAGAGCTACCAAAGTCATTAGGAGCCTGCATGCCTTTGAAATCAGTCATGGCTTAAGAGACCTTTGCAGATGTGGAACTTGTCTGTAGGGCTCCCACCACTGTGGCCTAAACCTCCCATGATCTCAATCACATTTTCTGCACAATGATATAGGAAAACAAGCTTAAATGATTTGTCCCTGTCTGAGACACAGCAGGGACATCAGCCTGCTTCACTTGAGCCCCAAACCTGAAACACTGTCTCATTTCCTCTCTCCGTTCCTGTACCACCTATAATTAATTGGCAGCTTTAAAGAAGGAGAAATTGGCACATGCGTCCAACTTCAAACTGCAAACATTGGGAATGGATTCAAACCATTTGGTCCAAATAACCCTGGATCTGTATGCAAACTTCGCAGATGATGCCTAAAAAGCAGGACAGATTTGTAAATTGTGCCTCAGGAGACATCTCAGAGCTCCTGATGCTTCTGCTGGAGGATTAGAATAGTGCTGGGGATTTTGCCTTTTGGGTTGTTAGGTCATGACTAAATAGCAGATAAAAAACAAGCTATGCAATATTATGGTTGATGCATATGGGGCTGAATGACTTGGCTGAAAGGCAAGTGTCAAAAGTAGCACTGAAAGAGAGCAGCTGCCTCACTGCACCATTCCTCCTCCTGCCCAACAGCTGGGGCTTCTCAGCTGCTCCCCAAATCCCTGACTAAGAGACTTACACACTGTGAGAGCACAGCAGGTACTGCAGGGTGAAATAGTTCATTTTTTTTCTGCCTTTTGACATGCAAAGACTCTGCCCTGACTTCTCATATGGATATATATATGCTATCCAACTGCAGGCTTTGCGTGTTGTGTATACATATATTTATATATATATTTTAACGTGGAAACACTGCCCTACACCTTTGGGCTACATTACAGAGGACATGAACTATGCTAGTTAGGGAGTGATAACACTTTTAAATCAACGTAGACGTGCAAGCACTTAAGCTAATCCTACCTACAGCATAAGATGCCTGTAATGCTCATTTCTTGTATCAAAATATCTAGCTATCAGCCACCTTTACAAGATATAGCTATATTTCCACTTGAAGGCTAGATTGATAGTGATAAATTAATCTAAGTTTTCAGTGTGTTTAGACCATACATCATGGGAACTCCCATCCCAAATATTTTCAACCCACCATGGTGCTTTTCTGCTTTATTTTGTTTTCAGGCTTTGGTCAATTCTATAATAGAGATTTCTTTAGAGCAAACATAGGGCTCCTGACAATAGATTTCCTTTTCTTAATTAGTTTTTTGCACAAATGCTTGCAGGTAGCACTAATGCCTTCCAGGATCTGTAGACCACAGGCTGAAAAACACTGATTTAATAAACAAGATACTACTAATAGCTAAGACAAACAAACATGGGTAAAGCAGAAAGAAGTAAATTGGATGTGCAGAGTTATTAACCAGGGCAATTACCACAATTCCTTGCCTTCCAAACCATCTTCAGGGTACAGTTTATTATATACATTGTGGAACCCCCCTTTTAAAATTTATATTGCATTTTTTCACAACCTTGAATTTCTAATAGCATGTGTGAGCACTGCTTCTCGTGGTCATTATGGGCAGGCTTTCCCAAAAAGGATTTAGGAAGTGAGGAAACTGGGCTGGGGGCCCATGTGGTTCGGTTTGACCAGTCTCTGCTGTCATAAGCCACTGGGACAGACGAATTGCCAGGTCTCATCTCTGCCCGCAGTGCTCCTCCTGCCAGGCTGCAGCTGAAGCCCTCTCCTCCCATGATTAGAAAACTCCTTTTAATTTCCAGTCTAAGGTTATCTGTGGCTGGCTGGTGCACATTTGTTCTGGTGCCAACATTTGCCTTTAGCTTACATAGGTTTTCCCTTTGGTGTTTATCTGTCTCTTGATGTATTAACAGCACAAATGAATTGCCTCTCAGCCGTTGCTTTACCAGACTGACCCGGCCAGATTAATTCAATTCCCTCTCACTGCACGTGCTTGCTGCTCCCTCCAACATCTCAGTGCCTTCCTCACACTCCAGCCTGTTCCAGTTTGAATGAATTTTCCTGAGCTAAGACCAGGATAACACACATTTTTTGCCAGAAACAGGTGTAAGGGAGGACAAACCAGCCTTTGCTGTCTCAGAAGTCTCTCCTGGTGCAACCTGTGACAACGTTTGGTGCCTTGTGTGACTGTGCAATGTGGCTGCTGGCGGCTGCTTTGCAGCTGAACAAAGCTCTCCACCTTGCTGCAAAAAAAGCCACTAAAGTCCTGGGCCACATCCCTGGCAGGCCAGCATTGTCTGCAAGTATCATTAGCACTCGCCTGTTTTCTGTTCCGTAAGAAAACTAACTAAAATTGGCTCCGAGGAATTTCACCGGTTATGTCTCCCCTCTCCTAACGTTTTCCTTCCAGCAGAACCTGTTGTGTTTGTTCGTGGCTGTTTCCGGAGGGACCTTCAGTTTGAAAACCAGTCCCTGCTTCTTCCAACACAAACAATAATTTCCCATGTGGCTCTTTTATCAAAAGTGTTGCTGAAGTCCAGACAGATTAGATCTAAAGCATTTCTCATGTCTAAAAAAGCCCATGGAGTACTTTGTTTACTGTTTTATTATTTTTTTTTCTTTCCTTATCACCAAAAAGCTATCGAGTTAGTCTGACTCAAGCGACCTTGGTAAAACCCAGTTATATTTTTATCATATTTTTTCCTTTACTTGTATGTCTTCAGTCCTTCCTTCAAAATCAGTTTACATGTTAGCTGAAATGTGTGCTGAACATGTCCAGGCCTTTTTCTCTGAATTTCTGTGAATGTAGTCCCCAGAGC